TACAACACTGCTGATTTGTGTTTTGGTCAAAGGAAGTGAAATCAGTTTCTGACTCAGTTTTAGCTGCAGTATAGTAGAATCCCCCCCAAAGTTAGGTTGATTCTTTGTTTCTCTTTTGTCAGTTTTCTTGCAGCTGTCTGCCACATCACTCTGTTATTCTCTCCTGACTTGTTAGACAGTTGGATGTGGGAGCATTGTTTCTGTCTTTCACTACCCCGGCAGCATGATGGCACACCACAACACGTACACACATTTGTCCTGGTGCTGGATTGACCAAGTTGTGAATTACATTACATTCCCTTGACTCCACTGTGACTCCACAGTGTTATGTTTTGCCATGTGTGTGAAGAAGCAGGCAGGACCACACAGGAGACTCTTCTTCAATGAGGATGAGGATGATTTTGTGATGCCTCCAGTCGAGTGTGTCACCAAATCACTAAGGAAGAGTCTCATTCAAGAGTTAATGCAAACAAACTTATTTCTATTATATATTTTATTTCCTAACTCAATGAGAGTCAATAAGATAATTTAATGAGGAATCAAACTGATAAGTGGGATCAATGAAAGAACTGGAATTGGTAAACTCATATCAATTCCCAGTGGGGAGCAGGTTTGTAAATCCTCCTCTGTCACTCCAGCCCTGCGACCGTGTTACTCCTCTGAAACCCCTGCACATTCCCAGGTTTACACAGCACTCTCAGCCGTGGACAATGCTCAGAGTGTTGCTCTGCACTACCAGAAGCAAAGCGAACCACGGCAAAAAATTTAAGAAAAGCAGCAGACATTGTGACTACAGATAGACCACAGAACAAACTAAATTACATTTTTATCACAGTAAACAGACAACTGAGCAGAAAGTGAGCAGAGCGTCTACACTGTTGAGAGATTTCATCTGTCTCTTCATTGACTCCCAATTCATCCTTTGCAGTGTTATGGGGCAGCTGGAACCGATCCTTACGGGCAGGGATGGGGTAAAGCATTGACAGTTGGTGCATTTCAATAAAGGACGAATATTATGAAACATTTTCCATTAAAAGTGCTTCCTGAACTGTTTAGATCACAGCTAGGAAACCAACCCTGATGTGAGTTGAGGATCCCCTGTACTTTTACTATTAACACACACAGTTGGGTGAACCTTTTTTATCTGTTGAAAAAGTGCCTTTTTGCCTACATTTCAGTGAATGTCTCTGATATCATAGATATTTACAGTAATGAGGAGCACTTCAGGAAAAAAATGAAAGGAGTCTCTAGAGGAGAAAACCATTATGGCGATGTCTGTACTGTTTAGAAGTGCTTATAATCTTTCATCCAAAGAATGTGACATGAACAGCCCCCAGAGCCAAATTCTTGCACTAATGTAATCAGGGACTCTGTGAATTGCAAACACAACCAAAGTCTCTTCATAAATGCAAATTAATTCCTTCTTCATCCGAGAGAACGACTTAAACAAAAATATAAAAAACAACAACAATAGCTGTACTTATAAAACGATATATTTGATTACACAAATTCCATTATCACTTTTCCTTTTCTATTTGTCTCTTTGATTTCTTGATCTATATTATTTTGATTTTTCTTCTGGAGACAGATATTTCAAGCTCTGGAAGTTAAAAATATGAAAAGCAGAGAGGATCGCTCTACTGCCCTCTGTGGGTAGTAGTGTAAATCATTTTCTGAAAAAAATTCCCTTTTTTAACAGACATTGCAGTACAAGAAACAGTTCTGGGACTAAAACATTCTAATTGTTGTAATGGTGTCAGAACGAAACACAAAGATAAGGCACAGTGGAGACCAACTGCTACAGTTTGTCCTTAAACTAAATATACTTGATCAAGTGCTGAAAAGTAAGGTATCTTTGTGTGTTTGTGCCAGCAGGATTCCAAGCAACAGCATATGGACCAGTGGCAGCAGCAGCAGTAGCAGCAGTGCGTGGCTCAGGTAGGGGGGTCCGTGGAAGAGGCAGCTACTTGGCGTACCCACAGAGCACAGGGCCAGGTAAACGCTTTGTCCACGTTCTGTGCCTGGTGATATTTCCAGTTCAGACTCTGCTTTCTTTTCTGGAGTAAAATCCCAAGGCCGCACAGACACAGTACATTAATGTTCAAAAGTAAATATCATGAAATACTTTTATTGAGTCCATCTTTATTAACTAAAGCCAAGAAGTGGTGAAATCAGGCAAAAATGTAGTCACAAATAATCTGACTGTGTGGTGAGGAAATGCACTGTTTAAATCCATTAGCCAAGCTTCTCTGGATACCAAATGACAAGACATTAGACATGTATAATTCATGAAACTCTGTACTTTCTGAAAAGGGTGTCAAGTGCTGTTAATTACTCAGCCATTCGTTGAGAAATTATTATTTTAAATGGAAAGTGAAAGCTGGGCTGAACAGTGAGGAGCTCAGGCTCTTCCATGCTATTTTTCTTTAATGACAAACGTAAATATATATATAATTATGCATATAATTATATATATATATAATTAAAGTCCAACAGGACTTGGACAGGAAGTGGACAGAATAGCAGAGCAGGAACTTCCAGTTTCTGAAAACGCATCAATCTTCAGTATTCAGTTGGGAAAGGCTTTTCAAGTGCAAGGACTAATTAGAATCAAACAGGCTTAGATTCTAATACCTAAGTCTTTTGTTACAGGGCTTAAATGTTTTTGTTATTATACACTGCAGTGCTACAGTGTAGTTACTGATTGTTTTAATTAGCAACATGTGATCACCAGCTTGAATGTTGGATGTTGAAATATTTTACACAACAGGCCAGGGAGCATTATACTCCAACATCTGGTTTATCAGGTTTATTTTCAAACCTAACACTGAGAGAGGCTGAACCTTCAGGGTATGTATTTTGATTTCACAGTCAACTGTGAAATCATTGAGCCACCAGAATGATGTCAGTGACAGAAGAGTGACAGACGCTCCTGCCTCCTTTGCCTTATAGCCCGCTTTAGTCCCTGACGACCGTAGACAATGGGGGCAGGAGAGATAACTATCAGTTTAAATTAAGCCCTCTCAATGATTTGCACTGCTGTGTCCTCTGATCTGGTTTCCACGGCAACCCCACAACGCTCATTTGTTTGGTTGATAAGTAATTACATCCAATTAGTGCCCTGTGGAAAAAAAAATCTGTCCAAGAAAGGCCCCATTGTTGGCCATGGATTGTGTGAATATTTATAGTATAATGGTTTGAGGAACAGTGATGTGATCTGGGATGATAACGCAGCTGCAGCTCTGCACCAGATCAGACGGATGCTGACGAAAATATATGACCTTCAGAATATTAAGCAGACATTTGTGTGTATGTGTTTAGCATAGCTGACTAGCTATTAATCAGAGACACTATCAGGTGTGTTAAACACCTGGTAGACCATTGTAGCGTGCAGTCTCCTAATCCATTACTTTACTGGTTACTAAACCAATGTCAGACCATGTCTTTGTGTTGTCCTTGTACAGGTGAGTCCCTTTATGTACAGAAAAAAACATGGCCTTCATATTATCACCACAACAGCAGTTCTGTAGTCAGCTCCAGAATCTAGACATGGACTCTGTGAATGGGAAAAAAATTGAATCTCCACAATGACGTCCACCCTCTCCATCCTATATTGTGTCTCCTAGGCCTCCCTGATTATGGGTTTTACTCGACGCCTAGTGACCACAGGGGGGGGCCCTGCTCCTTTGCTGACTACGGCTCCCTTGGGCCCCAAGCAGCTCAGATGCTTCACAGTGAGCACCATGCCACCTCTGCCTGCAACTCCCCCCTGCAGCACCTTCACAGCCCGGATCAGTTTAAAAACCCAGGTGTGTTTACATGTACTGTATATTTATGTCATGCAGGAGTTTCTTTTTAATACTAAAATATTTGTTTTTCCATACATAAAAAAATGTTTTTTGTACCCCTCCTGTACATCTCAAGATAATAGAAAAGTATAACTCCATTAATGCATTCTTTAAAATATATTTTCTAATCACAAAAACTGAGGATTAAAGGGGCTATAATGTTGGTGGTGTTCGTCTGAGCTGTTTGGCTCCATACTCTGTGTTCACAGGCACTAACCCATCCAGACCTGGAGGATTTCCTGCCACCAACAGTCCTGGGCCTGTGGCTGACCTGTATGGACCCAGCAGCCAGGACTCTTCTGTGGGCAACTATATCAGTGCTGCTAGCCCTCAGCCTGGACCTGGCTTCGGTCCCAGTATCACAGTAAGTAGTCAGACTTTGACTCTTTATCGTCTGTCGGCTCCGTTGCTGCTTCGACATTCAGCACTAAAATTAGACACAAAGCCTCTGCCTTTGTTACTAATCACAAGACTTGACGATGCACCGCTAAATATGACGAAATGTTCACAGCAGTATAATATTAATGTCTAACACCTGGTTTGTTTTGACACTGTGAAATATCTCTCATTCTGCACTACTTCAGATCGATGCCCACAGTTCACTGATGGTATGTGAACTCTGTCTTTTGGCCAGTGGACCATGATTTGTAACCAACTATGGTCATACCGTCAACCTTCTTGACTTTTTGGGATGGATTTTTGTCAACAGTCAACTTGTAAATTGCACATTAATGTTTGTTTACCAGAGAAAAAACCTGGCAGCTGTAAGCTGTACTAAAGGAAGTTCAGTCTGTGATACTTGTCCTTTCTGTATGACGCAGCATGACACAGGAATTAATTAATTCATTCATTCATTAATGCTGGCCATTAAACATTGACATGATACTTTAATGCATTCATTTCATTAAACATTGACATGATACTTTAATGTCTTTCCTTATAATGCATACTGACAACCTGCTCCTGTCACTTTTAGGGTCCGTTGATTGCTACAGCTTTTACAAATGGATACCATTGAGCAGGTGGTCTGTCGCCAACTCAGAGGTATTGGTACATTTTATTTATGTTATGATGCACTTCCATCACTCCCAGTCTTTCCATTCAGCACTTCCATCACTCCCAGTCTTTCCATCAAATACACGTTCATCACATCATTTTGTCTTTATTTATGTTTAAATGACAGAGCAGTCAGGGGCCTCATTTAAAGACAGTCACGCCCATAGTCAATGTAAATACGAGTGGTTCCCAAAGTGGGGGGCGCAGTCAGAGATCAAAGTCCTAATCCATGACACCTGTGGCACAAGACAAAAACCCACAGAAAATACTGAAGGGACATGGGTGTGTGTGAGAGTTCAGATCTCAAAAATTCAATAGACATTTTGGTATGAAATAATGTCATCCTTAGGCTGTTACTGTTGATTATGTTGCAATATAGTCTGAATAATACAATGCAAATAGTTGGTGACACCACCTGAGATGGAGTACTGCTGGTGCTGGAGCTCCACTTTATTTCTGCGATCAGGAATATGGCTGAATAGTTCACAGTAATAAGTTAGAGTAATACATCACACATATACAGTATATCAAATGTACTGTATAGTGACCTATGCTGGTATGTAGTCAGGATTGGAGCATCTGACCTTATCTCCGGATGTTGTGGGTCACTGACGAAAGTACTTCGAGGAAGTATCCGACGATGAAGCAGAGTCTGGGTTCTTCTGTCTCTGGGCTCGGGGGGTGCTGAAGTGGTTAAACAGCTGGATGGATGCATTGATGGACTAATGGATGGATGAACAAATTTATGTTATGTCTGGCTTTGCCATTTAGATGAAAGTCCTTGGGTACACACAGGTAAAACAATGGTAACCTCCATTAAGAACAGAAACAGACGGAAAATACCCTGAAAGTACCCTGAAATCCCACCCCATGTGGGGGAGTTTTGGGATCTTGGAAGAATACAGTGAGAGATCGACGGGCACATAAGTGTATGGGTCAACAATTATGCAGACTCTGCATTTGGTTTGGTGTGGAGGAAAGGGAGCAGAGCCAAGGCAAAGCTTTTGATTTATTAGTTGCTCTTCATTCCCATCTTCATCCTATGGTTGTGAGCCATAGGTAGTGATTGAACGCAAGAGGCTTAAATTAGTTTCCCGTGCAGGGTGTCTGTGCTGTCTCCTAGAGACAGGCTGGAACAAGAAGTGTTATCTCAAGCGGTGCTAAGAGTAGACTCACTGCTCTTCAGCATCAAGAGGAGCAGAATGATGTGGCTGGGACATCTGATCAGGAGGCAAAAATGAATGTGATGTGTTCAACTCTAGCTCAAACCTGGACGCGTCAGGATTCCTTCCCACAGAACAGCTGAACGAAGTGGTTGTAGAGAGAGAAGTCTGGGCTTCTACAGTCAGGCTAGCCCTGCGACCCGACCTTTGATAGGCGGCAAAAGATGGACGAATGAATGGCTAGCTATGTCAGGGACTGTTGTGGACTTCTTCATACTATAATGAGTAGTAATAGCTATAATGTCCACATATGGAAACACCATTCAGCAAAATCAGAACATTCTTAATTATTAATACTCCTTCCAAAGGTTTATTTGGAGTTCAATTAGTTAAAATGTGATTAATTATGGCTAAATTGATCTAAAATGGCAATAATCCAAACTTTGCTGCTGTTCATAAGGACGTTTTATATTTTTATTGATTAATTTTGGCTCCTCTTGTTATTGTTAATTTGTAAATGATGTTAAGGGGAGGCTGCAAATACATATTTATATTTTAATATATTTATATATATATTTATATATATCATATATTTTAAATTACATGTATTAATATATTTTTACACATCTATATTTTTACACAGAGGCAAAAAGATACATTTTATTTTGCAGGCAGATGACTTTTTACATATATGGAATCTAGTATATCTAGTACACAAACCAAATTAATATGAACACTAAGTAGTACTATCTACTGTCCATTATCAATGTTGCTTGGAAAATTTAACACATCTCAATTAGGCAATGTGATTTGGCAATGCTTGTAGTGACTTCATATTTTTCCCTGCTACTCTGCATCAATAAGCATAGAATATGATTAACATGACATTTTGATGTTATGTTTGTTGCACATCTACCGTGACAACACATTTCTTTGTGTCGGACTAATTTACGGAGTGTTGTTGGTTTTCTAACTCTTTCACTGTATTTTCCCCTTCATTGTCCAGCAGATTATATCTGGTGGCCTGGGAAACACAGGATGAAGTATTTAACTGGCTCTGAGTTTAGATAATACTCGACCAACATTCAGTACAACAGATGAAAAAAAGCAGAGCTGGAAACCACACGGGAAAGACACGGAGAGAGAAAGAAGAGAAGGAAGAAAAGAAAAGTAACAACTGCTGTACAATAATCTAAACCTCGTACCGTCAGGAGCTGGGTTTGGACTTGTGTTTTTACCTGATGTCTTCTTTCCTTCCTCTGCATTTCCTTTGACTTACTGGAGATTTTATTGGAGAATTTTGTTTTTATCTCATTCTAGTATGTTGCTGTAAACTGATTTTTTTTTTTTTTTTTTTGCCGTGCAGTGGAAGAAGAGAGGCGGGTATTGCCGAGAATGTCTGCAGGTTATGTTTCCATCATTGTATCTGTTGGTGTAGATGGGAAACGATGGGAATCACATTTAGTCTTCCCAAAGAGAAGAGTGAAGCTAGGGAAGAGACAATGAGGGAAGATAAGTTAATGAGGGTATCTAAGTAATAATTACTAATCTTAGTAGTTGTTTTATTTCCTGTGCTGTCTCATCGTTAACCATAATTACCTACTTTTGGGCAATACAAAGAGGACTGAAATATTTTTACGGTCCTTTTTTTTATAAGTGTTGTTTTGGTTGTTTATATATATATAATATATATAAAAATATACATATATGTGTGTGTGTGTGAGGTGTGTGTGTGTGAGAGAGAGAGTGTGAGATTGCGTGTGTGCGTGCTATATGAAAATTTCAAGTACATTGTGAATTTAAACTTGATAAAAACAAATGTAGCTGTACATAATATTCCAGTCTCTACATATAACCAGCCCAGTGAGAGGATAGCATATTTTTGTGATGTTGTTTAAAAAAAAAAAAAAAAGAATACGTATTAGCGCGTGTGAATAGAAGACAAAGCTGTAAACAGTTACGACTCTAAGTTTTTATTTTTCTTTTTATGACAAACAGAACACAAATATTCTGTAAATACTCAAGTTGAATATTTTTGCTAAGTGTCTCTACTCTCTAGGGCTGTCACTTGTGTTCCAATGAATTTTACTTGTTCATAATTTTCTTAATAGACAACACCACCTCCCCCTGCCCGCTCACTTATAAAGACCTCGCATATATTTGCTATAATTACACCAGTAATGGCCTTTTTTAAATGTTTTGCAGTGTGTGAGGGGTGAGTGAGCAGCAGAGTAACCGTTGCTCACACTCTTGTAACAGACATAATGATTTTCTTAATGTCACATGCTAAGCTACGCTAAAAGTAACCTAAACAGTGTGAGTATACAATTCTGATGTTAACGAATATATAAAATACACAGACACACAGATGTAACACCAAAGCAGTTAAAAACAGTATAATTTATGTTCCATTATCTAGAGAAACATTTTTGACACGATTCTGACCTGAAAGAGTTTTGCTGAAAAATTGGTGCTCGAATTTACACAGCTCTAACAGCCCCGTGGAGATTAGCCAAAACAGCAGCCACCATCTTAGAACATCACTGAGTTCCTCCAGATTGGCAAAAATATTGGTTTGTTACCTCAGGTCTTTAAGGAATGCTGTAGCAGTTCATCTAAGAAAAGTCCTTCAGTCAACCAGGGTGGTGAGCATTTTGACACGTGTCCTACTCTCCAGGACAACTGCACATAATGGTTAAAAAAGACATATGCTGGGAATTTCACACACATTTGCTCTTAGGTGTGTTCAGCCAAGGTGTTGTGTTAAACAAAGCACCAAACCCATTGTGTTCTAATTCTTTGGTGGCTACCTGATGTACTGAGGCCGGACCACCGGTCGATGACCGAGGTCGATCCGTTCATACAAGATGTGCACAAATTACCTGCTGATTTTGTAACACAAAGATTTAACAACTGTGCTGCTTAAGAGACACCTATCATTCATGTCATTTTAATTATTCTGCTTTGTTTTAATTAGCTTTTTATTATTTGGCTCAAACATACATATCCATACATATCCATAAAAACACATCTACAGACCTGCATATACATTTGGCAATAAGTAAAAAATAAAATATGACAGCAAACTAAACATTAAAAAATAGCAAATCAAATTAGAAAATATAAACAAATAAATACAACAAATGTTTTTTTATAAAAGTTTGTAAAGAGTAATTTTTAAAAAATGTAATTGGCAGCTAGAACCTAGACGTCCCTTGTTTTTTTAGTTCAGCTGAATTTTAACACTTAAAAAAATAAGGTAGACAAAGGAAGACGCATCCTCTGTGTTTTGACCCACTCAGAACTGGCTGACAAATGCAGCCACCAATGCAGCTTAAAAAAATGTAAAATTGCACAGGAAACCTGTGCTCAAAAGACAGAACGTACCCCTGGAAATACAGAAGGATTATCAGGATATCGGTATTACGTCAGTGATCCTGATGTAACCCAATTACTGTGGCTGCAGCTGTAGCTCAACACACAGTACCTTAGTGAGTAGCTCCTTAACGGTTGCTATCCTAAATTCGAGTTGAAAGTGGAGCAACCTCTGGTGGATTACACAGGAATAGCTTCAGATCGTTTTAGTTGATGATATTGATGTGTGTTTTTGTATTTTGTTTTTTGTTTTTTTGTTCTTAATATTTTTTGATGTCTTCTCTTAGGTTTAAGAAAACATATTTTAGTTCTGGATAAAAAGTAACAGCCCTATGACATACCAGCATTGTCAAGATGTTAGATCAGTGATTCCCAACCACTGTGCCGCAGCACATCCGTGTGCCGAGAAAGATCATCAGGTGTACCATGGAAGATTATCCAATTTCACTCAAATGGTCTCAAAACTGTTATTTATTTATTTTAAATAATGTATCTTTGTGTGTCTATTTGACAGTGACAGATGATTTAAATTGGCAGATGGCTAATCTGTGTATCTACCTGTTGCCATTTAAACGCTACACTTAGTAGCTCTGATGTAAAGAATTGTCTCAAAAAAGTTGGGAAGCTCCGTTTCTGTTCTTGGATCACGCAGCACCGCCTGTTATCTGGTCCATTCTTACTTAATGAATTTGCATGAGTAAACCTTTCAGTACCATACCTCAGCCTTAGAGGGTTTCACGATGGAATCATTGGCAGGTTATAATTTCCTTTTTTGCAGCGAAGCACCTGAATGACATAACACTGAAATGATAATAAAGTGAGTAATTTTGCACTGTGAGTAGATTGCAGTACAGGCCAATTTACTATTTGCACATGTAAATGTCGCGTTTACAGAAAAAAAAAAACAGGCCTTTTGCTGTGGTACTGTGTAAAGGCGTTTTGGGTTGATGTGTTGTACACTATAATTATATAAACACCCGACAGTTTTGAAGAGAGTTAGCAACTTGGAGAATGGTAAACGAGAAGTTGCAATGTACATTTATTTATACTATGTATGACCCCTGCGTCAACAGAAGATATTTATACAGGGTCGACATTTCAAACTGAATCTTTGCTGTCTGTTGTTTCACCAGGGTGTCACACTTTGACTCTTGTGACAAATGTTTGTTAATAAACGTCCTGCTTTTTTTTTTTAAATGTCACTGAAGGGGAGTGAGTGAATGTTTGTGTGTGTGTGTATGCCTATCGTCAACAACCAACATTGTAAGGACACTTTGTCCATGTGGGGATAAATTTAAGAATAAACACTATGTTTGGGGTTTCGATTACGATTCAATTTTGGATAAGATTTAAAATTAGGAATGTATGTGGGGTGTGTGACATACAATAAAGGGTTTGGGGTTAGACTATGCATTATTAGAAGTCCTCACAAACCAGAAATGTGGGTGTGGGTGTGTAATAAGAGAGAGAAGTGCTGCAGTTGATTTTTTTTTTTTTTTTAACCTTCCTCTTGTCTCGTTTCTCTTTGTGTCAAAACAACCAGGTAAAGAAAATGCTGGAAACTTCTAAAAGTAATGGGTATAATTAAATAATAATATGAAATGAGTAAAATAAATTGTAATGTTCATATGAAGAAAATAAGGTAACAAAGCATTTGAAAAAAAGATTATTCGTTGACGAATTTAAGTTTAATCAGAGTTTTATTAATGCATTCTTGTGGTTTATATATCAATGATTGTAATATACTATTAAAATGTACTGTGCAAACACTGCTTTCTGCTTTTCTATCTGTTACCTGAAAATAGCCTACATTCGTTTCCATTCATGTTTCCTATTAGTGTGTGGCTGTGTCTTTGAAAATGTTCATCTTACCAGTGTCTTATTGATGGTTCAGAGGCCCTCCACTCCAACTCCCAGCTACGAAAGGGAAAAAAGAAAGCGGTGGAGGGGAGTGGGGGAGACGGAAAAAATTGAAAAAGGCAAATTAGAGCTGGAATTCTCATTTATTGTGTTTTCTAATTTATCATGAATCCATATACTAGTTTAATTTGTGTTGTTTATGTCACATAGTTAATTGCATGCAAATTAAAAATTCTATATAGAATTTGTACCTGAAACCTACTACCTAGTGGATGAAGGTGATTGAGGATCTAAAATGTTATAAAGAAACTTTTCATATGTTCTTTATTTATTTCTGTTTTTATTTTTTGTGTATCTATTAATTTATTTATCAATTATTAAATAATACGTTTTATTTGTATTTATTTGTACACACAGATATACAAATTATTTCACGTTAATACTTCAATTACGTCATTTCCTCTTCCTGGTTTCCGCACGTGTAGCAAGAGCTTTTAAATGATACCGGAAATGTCCGCTCTCCTTCTTCAAACAAACATTTGGTCGTCGTCGAGTGTGCGTGTGTGTGTGGATGTCACGAGGGGAAATATAACTTGAAACAAACAAACTTTTAACGTTTAAACTACATACTGAAGCAGTTTTATGTGATGTTCAGCCATTTTATGGACACTAGTGAGGTATTTTTCTCGATAAACTTTTTTTTGGCGACAGGTTAACCTGCTAGCGCGTGTTTAGTGCTGCAGTCTAGACAAATGTATGAAAAACCGAAAGGTAAGAATTAAACTTTGAAAATGATTTTCTGTTATTACATGTAATTTCATTTGTTTGCTTTTCGTTCGGGTTTAATGTCATTTCTTCTGAGTTGGCTGTACTGACACCACAACATTGTTGCTTTTTTTGGTAATGTCAGTTATCTATTTTATTTCTTTCCGCACATTTCTACAAATTATTTTAGCATTAACGATAATCTAGACTACGGGACCTTTAAATTTACGTAATTCCCTCTCGATAGTTTGTGCATACGTAGCAAGAGAGCATTAAAATTAAACTGGAAGTATTGCTCTCGTTTATCAAATAAACATTTAGTCGTCCTAGAGTGTGTATGTAAGTCACGAAGGGGAAAGATAATCGGATCGGAAACTTTTCTTGACTAACTCAATAATGGGTGCGTTTATGTAGTGTTTAGTCAATTTATCGACACTAGTGCGTTAGGTAAACTTTTTTGTCCTTGAGTTAACCTGCTAGCTTGTGTTTAGTACTGCGGTCCACCGTTCTCAGCTTTGTAAGCACTCAATACACAGCGAATACAGCGTCTGGAAAAGCCAAACGTTTGAAAAAACAAAGGTAAACCTTAAGCCCCATATGTTAAAAGTGTAGCCAACATTAGAATTAGTAGAAGTCGATGTGGTTGTGTTCCAATTGTTAATTTTCTGACTTTATGTAAAATATACTGTTGGATCTTTATAAATAAATGATTGCACGCGCCAGTAATGTAGAGTAAACCAATAATTTGTGAAGTAAAGCCATGATTGCATTGAAGTCTTTTAATGTTTACCTTCAATGTCTCCCCATACAGGTGGCCAACGTGTGGTACGACTCGGTACCTACTGTATAACGGACACACGGGAGCTGTGTGGTGCATGGACTGGTACTGCATCCTTTCATGTTGTTTAGCTCGGTATGCTGCCGTGTCCTCACCAGGGACGTCATGAGTTAATATCACTAATAATTGGCAATATGAAGGCCTTAACATTTCCAGAGTAGCGTCAGAAAATATAACAAATGTGAAGGTGAACTCAAACAATAATTGCTATAAACAAGCGAAGACTGGCGTACTGCAACAATGTTATGACATTAAAGGTTATGTTTATCATGCAACAGCACAGTGTTGTGAAACCAGTAAAAGCAAATATAGTTGTAATATTGTGATTAGTTGTCTGACAGTTATTGTACCAAGTAAATATGTAATCATGACACAGTTGACCTTAGCGTACGCTCATGAATTTCTGCCACGATACATGCTACGTTCCCTAACTGGTTCTTCTCAGGGGACACCAAAAATGTTTTGACAGGATCAGCTGTCGACTGTGGGACACCGTGATCGGTGGGTGAAAAGAAAATGCATGTGTTTAGATAGATAGAACTTTGTGGATCCCTCTGGAGTTCCAGCAGCAGTACGGCACCAAAACAACAATAAAATACAAACGTGTAGCAGCACATTGTCAGTGCATATGGGAAATCTGAACAGTGGATGTTAGTAGATTAGTCGAAGTAGATAGATTAGTGTTAGTAGTATTAGTAGGTAATTGTTGTTGCCGTGTGTGGTGTTGTTGATTGCTCTCAATTGTTATATTTTCTTTACACTATTGTCATTCTAAATTAAATTGGTATGATGTGTGTGTATAGTAAAGTATACCACATTATACCTATGATATGTATATATAAGCAGAACTAGAATAATTATAAGGATGTAATGTGAACAAGTATATAAAATAAATATGAAATATATGCACAGTGTAAATATTTGAGTAGTAAAATAATGAAATTAAATAAACAGCTATATAGGCAGTTCCAGCAGACATATTAATGTATGAGTGTTTAAATGTATTTTGGATAATTTCTTGTCAAGTGTTTTATATTTTTGCTCTGTGTCCCTTCTTTAATGTCTGCCATCAGAACACGCAGGTTCGATTTCAGCGACATCATGTTTTCCACAGACAAGCAGATGGGCTGTCAGTGTTTCATGAACTTCTTTGACCTGAGGGATCCACAACAGATTGGTAGGTAATCGTCACGAGACTGCAGAGTTATTGTTTTCCTTTTAACTCTTGTACTCGTCATTGTTTATATATGTATGAAATTGTAAGGTGATCCTCCAGTCAGTTGTGCTTGAGACCCCCGTTCTAAAGTAGAACAACAGAAATAAGTGAATGAGAAATCTATAAAGATATTTATTGATAGTTATACAAGTATGTATTATTATTATTATTATAACAAGATACATACAAAACCACACACTAGTAGGTGCGGTTACTTTGAGTGTCCACTTGTCCCATTCATTTATAATGACACTTTCCTTCAGTCTAAGTGTGTTGGTCACCTGTTCATACTACAGACCTAGTGATGTGAAGCCACTCACTTATACTGAAACAGACTTTAGAATATATGAAGTACATCTTAGGAGAAATGAGTGATACAGTTTGAAATAAATGGTGTCTGTTGTGGTTTTGTGTTACTTTTTAATGTTGACAGATTGCAGTCCAATAAAGCTAAGTGACCTGGTTGTCTGTGACTTTAAGACCTTCAAGAGAGATGACTGCTTGAATAAAAGTTTGCTTAGTTCAAAGGTGACTGTGTGAGGTCGTTAAAGGCTTTATGTCAGCCACCCAGATAAAGTGGAGTAAAAAATAAGTTATCATTTCTTTGTTTTGGAAACCAAGACGTGGATGTTGTGAATGAATGCCATGTGTTATCTTCGCAGCTCTTTGACACTCTCCCCAATCACGTAAGATGAATTTGTCACTGTGCAATGCATATCTTAGTAGATCAACAGTGACCTCCATCCTCGCAATTGTGTGTGTTGTAGGTGGTTATGGGAGGAGGCCATGGAAGTGACCACAAGTTGAAGTGGTGTTTCCAGAGTATT